TTTTGAATATTAAAATAAAATACATAGTTAAGAGAAACTGGTGTTTTATCAGAGTGTAATATATTCTGATTATGTCTCAGGAAATTATTTATTTTAATGCTTCTATGACCCAAAAATACCTAATCATTTCCCTCCAGCTTACTGTGCAACTTTCAATAGTTTGCGTGGTTTCTCTGTGCCACAGTCTATCATTAACCAAATGAAAAACAAAATTGCTGACCATTTTTCTGGGATATGGTATGAATTAATCAGTTAATGTTTTGGCATAGATGTTAAGGATGTTCATTAATAAAATATATCTTGCAGGCATATATTCTTCACGATCATTTGCTTCGATAGTTCTTTTGTTGGCATCAACTTTTATTGACTGTTCTACATAATTAAAAACCCCAAGAAATTGATTTAAAAAGACCAGGAAGTGTGTGTAACACAGGACTGCCAACACTAATGAAATAATTTAAGTCAGAATTAGACAAAGGGACAAATTAGACTCAGCAAATTACTCAAGGACTAAGAAAGGCTGATTGTTCAAGTGTAATTAAAATATACAGCTGGAATTGTAACCGCTAACAGAGTGATCTGATCAATGAACACAGTAGCTATAAAAATTTAATGCAGTGTGAGCAGCCTATTTTTTAAAATGCAAATAATCATCCCAAAATGCAGCTGCCTGTTAGGAGGCAAACATGCAAAAACTAACAAAGTCAGGGAAATTGGACTGATGACTCAGAAGAAACAGGCTGGAGCTAGATATTAAGAACATGGCTCTCGATATCAACACCACCATTTAATCATAAAGATTAATTTCTCTAAAAGGGAGGGTGGAGCTCCTAGTCAAAGCTCTAACAGTATTTATTTCCTCCCACCGATTCTCTACTGACGGCCTGAGCTGCACAGTGATGTATGTGGCCGCTGCTTGCACACACACACTGGCTGCCAGAACACTACCTACACCGTGTCTAGACTTTCAGATCTAATTCCTTGAGTTGGCATAATGTTATGGTTTAGCTGTGGTGGCCCCCAAAAGCTCACGTGTCAAACAATGCTAGAAGGTTTGAAAGAGAAATGATTGGGTTATGGCCCTAAGCTAATTAGTGAATTGATCCCTGATGGGATTAATTTGAGTGGTGGCTGGAGGCAGGTGGGATGTGGCCTGAGAAAGTGGTTCACTGGGGGTGTGGCTATATGGGGTATGTATTTTGTATCTGGAGAGTGGAGTATTTTGTATCTGGAGAGTGGAGACTCTCTCTCTCTCTCTCTCTCTCTCTCTCTCTCTCTTTCTCTCTCTCCTTCCTAATTATGATGTGAGCTGCTTCCCTCCGCCACACTCTTCTGTTGTTCGGCCTCACCTCCAGCCCTGAGGAATGGAGCTGGCCTTCTATGGGCTCAAACCTCTGAAACCCGTGAGCCCTCAGATAAACTTTTTCTCCTAAAATTGTTCTGGTCAGATCTTTTAGTCGAAGCAGGAAAAAAAAAAAAGAGAGAGAGAGAGACTAAAACACATAAAGACAAGGTAAAACTGGACTTTATCAAATTTCAGGCATAGCTCAGGAAAGATCAGAAGGGAGCAATAGAGAGAAGGGGATAGTGGAATGTTAGGTCATTTCCTTTTTTCAATATTTCTGTAATTTTATTATAAAGCGTACATTCAATTTATAACACTTGACTATCTCCAGACCTCACCAGGGTCTAGATGTGAGTAAGTGATACCGTGGTTATCAGTGACGAGTACTGCTTCCCCACATGTGGAAATTTGAACATTAGAGAAGCACGCATATAAAGGCAAGCATAAAAAGCAGGGTTCATTTAAAAAGGGGTAACATAGACTTCTCCCAGGAGGGAGAAGGGGGCCATAGCTGGAATCCTGGAATCCCAAGAAGGGAGGTGTTCTGCCCTTTTTATATGTCCTAGGCTTCCTTTGTTCTCCTGCCTTTCCCCCTTATCTTTCTCCTTCCAGCGTAGGTGACTAGGCCCAGGAATGCTTGGTGGCTTGGCCCAAAGGTGGGAAACAGGTGGGCTTGAAAGGTTAATAAAATAGGTACTTGTCACTCTGTTTTTCTATATGCTTAACAAAACACTGTTGAAATCTTGTTCCCAGGATGTGTTGTCCCCAACTGTGAACTCTTTGCTAATCTTGTTCCCAGAATGTGCTGTCCCCAACTGCCAAACTGCAGGATGCACTCCCTCACTCGGTTGCAGGCAAACTGCCCACTCACCCTGACCCATCAATGAACTTCCCTCCATGCCCTCTCCAAGAAAAGTATATAAGCTCTGCTCAAGCGGTTCTCAGGGCTCTATCTCTCTTTGCTATAGAGGGAGCCCCAGCATGCTGGTCTCCAAATAAACCCACCCTTCTGCTGTTGCATAAGAGAGTCTCTTGTGGTCTCTACTCCGACGTTTCGCCGTACCCTTACATTCTGAAGGGGGAGGGGCAGGATGGAGCAGCCAAGGACACATTGACAACCTTATAGCTCCCTGTAGGGAGGAGCAATTCTTGGGACAGGTGACCTTGGCAACAGGTAAGAGCAGGGGCAGGTTCTTGATAAGGGTGGAGGAGGGGCTCTGAAGGGATTATTTCAATCCCTCAGGAAACAGACTCCAACTTCCCAGACTCACTCAAAATTGGCCTCCTTGATCCGACCTGACTCGATTGACCTATTTATACTGACTGCCTGTCTAATTCTGGCTTCATTAAGTCACAATAATATTAACCACATACATTTCATCAGCTCCAAAGCCTTACTTGCTAAGATGGGAACACCACAGGCTTTGGCATATCACCCCACCCCCGCACCTCTGAGATCCCCTTCAGTGGATTTGTGAACGGTGGTAGGGGTGGAGATGTGCTTCCCAGATGCCCCTTCAAGGAAGGACTTGTCTTGGCAGTCAGTCCCTCCAGAATAGGTCTCAGCTGCAGAGAGCTGTATTCCCAAGGGCATCCAGCACAGCCATTCCCAGGGACTGACAGAGGCCCATATACATGTCCCACCATTTCAACCCATCCAGATAGTTCTGGAGGGCCACATGAAACTTGGAGCTCCTAAAGAAGTTAACCAAAGCTCTATCAGGCCTGCATCAAGGTTACCTTCTCCATCTGCCCAATCTTGTTTCCTCTCCTTCCTTCCACAGGAGTTATTTCCTAATCAACGTCCTGCATACCAAACTCTGTCTTTATCATCTGCTTCCGAACAACCCAACCTGAGACATGAGTTCATCCTGGCTGCCACAAGCAGGCTAACTGACCACAGCAACTGCTGGGAAGTTTGGAAGCTCTTCATCTTCACCAAGTGGAGTAAGCCCTACTGTGTAGTGAGGCCAGGTAGTCAGGGAGAGGTTTTTTCAGTTCCATATTATGTGATTATCATTTAACAAACACTTTCACCTCCCTTACCACCAGCACTGTCTTATGTCTTTTATGTATATTCACTTGTAGAATTCTGAACCATCCCACAAAGCTATCAGGCATACTTAACACCTCAGGAAACTGAGACACGGAGGTTTCACAGCACATAAGTTATATGAGCATGTGACCCCCTGAATAGGAGGAAATATTTACAAACCATATATGTGATCATAGGTTAATATCCAAAATATAAAAGGAACTCATACGACTTCCTAGCAAAACTAATGATAATAACCTGAGTTTTAAATGGACAAAGGATCCAAATAGATATTTCTCCAAATACAAAAACCTATAAACAGCCAACAAGTATAGGAAAAGGTGTTCAATATCACTGATCGCCAAGGAAATGCAAATCAAAACCACAATAAGATATCATCTCACACCTGTTAGAAAGACTATTACCAAAAGACAAGTGATAACAAGCGTTGGCCAGAGTGTGGAAGAAAGAAAAGCCTGGTGTACGGTTAGTGGGAGTATAAATTGGTGTAACCAATTGTTTTAGACAGCTTTTTCACGTTTGTGACTTGAAGACTCAGAACAACTGTAGAGGTGAAAAAGTTTATTTGAGGGTCTCATGGTTTCAGAGGTCTCAGTCCATAGACAGCAGGCTCCATTCCTTGGGGCTCAGGTTGAGGCTAAACATCATATTCTTATGGCAGAGGGAAGCAATTCACATGATGATCAGGAAGTAGAGAGAAAGACTCCACTCGCCAGATACAAAATATATACCCAGAAAGCACACTCCTAGTGACCCACCTTCTCCAGCTACACCCTACCCACCTTCGGTTACCACTCAGTTAATCCCTGGTAGGAATTAACTGATTAGGTCAACCCAATCATTTCTCTTCTAAACCTTCTTGCATTGTCTCACACATGAACTTTTGGTGGACCTCACGTCTAAACCATAACACCAATGGAAAACAGCACAGAGGTTCCTCAAAAATTTAAATTTGAACTATCCTGTGATCCAGCAATTCCACTTCTATGCATATATCCAAAGGGAAGGAAACCAGTTTGTTGAAGAGATATCTATACTCCCGGGAAACACCTGAGTATCGGTTGATAAATGAATGAATACAGAAAATTTGATGTATACATACAATGGGATATTATTCAGCCTTAAAGAAAGGAGGAAGTCTTGTAATTTTCAACAACATTGATGAACTTAGAAGATATGATATTAATAGACCAGACACAGAAAGACACTTCACGATCTCACTGAACATGTCGAATCTTTAAAAAGCCAAACTCACAGAAATGAAGAAAACAATGGTGGCTTCCAGGGGCTGAGTGTTGTGGAAATGAAGAGATGTTGGTCAAAGGGTACAAACTGTCGGTTGGGATGAGGAAATTCTGGAGACCTCGGGTATAGCAGGGTGACCATAATTAATAACAATATACTATTACATACTTGTAATGTGTTAAGAGAATAGACCTTGGGTATTCTCACTGTCACACATGCAGAAGTAGGTAACTATATGAAGTGATGGGTGTGTTAACTGATTTGAATGTGATGATGGTTTCAACAATGGATATTCCAGCAAAATGTCACATGGTGTGCCTTAAATACACACAATTTTTATTTGTCAAAGGTGGGAAAATAAATGTTGTGAGGCTGCTGTTCAATCCAGGTGGTCTGGCTCCAAGGCCTTGCTCTCAGCCACCATGCCACAAGACTCCTCCTCCAGGCAGGGTCCCCACTTCAGCAAAATGGTGATAATAGTACCTAAGGACAGTGGAACAGGTAAGAAAAATGACAATCCAGTGAAAAGTCCAATCCCTTGGTGTTCTTTCCTCCACCTCACCGAGACAAATGGCCCAAGCTAAAATATGACTGCCCACAGTGCCCGAACACAGGTAGGCATCGGAAAAAATCTCCACCAAGCGGAATCACCAGGAATATGTTTTAGGCCACTCTCAAGGTGCCTCATTTCTCCTCTTCCCTCTCTTCGTACTCCATTGCCCCAGTAGCTTTGGGGGAGGCTTACGTAGGTCACTTGGGGGCAGCCCTGGCTTGAGACCTGCCTGTTGCCTCGGGTCTTATCTGCAGTGAAGCAGCTTTGCTTGGTGTAAAGTAATTCTCAGAGGTCATCCGAGGCAGCTGCAAGCTTGGCTGGAGTTAACACAATTCGTTAAGCAGGGGATGAGCCCTCCAGAGCCGAGTGAGCTCCTGCACAGCCAATAGACTGACGCCATTCCAAGCACCTTCCTCCTGCCCTGGTCTCTGCTGCCTGGGCTGTAGAGTCCAGTTCATGATCTGGACTTGAACTGCCACTTGTAATGCTCTGAAGACCTGAGACTTAGAGCTCATTCAATTACACTTTTAAAAACACGAATCCAGGGGGAAATCACCTGGAAAAGACAAAAGGCAGCAACATTCCCATGTATTGAGTACTTATTATATCAAGTTCCCATTGGGAAATCTCAAGTGCCTTCTCAGTCAACCCTTACTACAGCATTATGGGGGGGGGGGGTGACCACTGTTTTTAAGATGCAGAAAATGAGGAGACAGTGATTTTATCAAATAGAATAAAAAGTAACAAAACTGATTTAAATTCAGGCCCAGTGACTACGCACCTCGATATTTCCCACCTCCTGTAGTGATATACCAAAGGAGCTCACAGTTAACTACAGTGTAAAAAGCTAACAGAACACAAGGTAGAATTAAATAGGGGCCATATCAGAGATTCAGATGAAAGGCAAAGGAAGGAACAAGTCATTGCAACTAGAAACATGGAACAAAGAGGCTGCTTTTGAGCCGTATCTTGAAATCTAAGTAGAGAAGCCAGGTGAGCAAAAGAGTATTAGTCTGTTTTCTGTTGCTATAACAGAATATTTGAGACTGGATGATTTATAAAGAATAGAAGGTTATTTTTTTTTGCTCACAGTTTTGGAGTCTGGGAGTCTAAGATGGAGTGTGGGGGCATCTGGTAAAGGCCTGGTGCTACATTATACCATGGCAAAAGAAAATGGAAGAGCAAAATTCTTGCAGTTCAATGTGGCCACATGACTAAAATTCTAGCTAGAGAAAAGGAACAGGACTAGTGACTGACAGGCCCAGCTCAGAAACCTTCCACCTGAAGTTTTTGAGCCCTTTAGCCTCTGAGTGGAACAAGGGTGACCAGGGCAACTCTGGAAGCCGAGCTGGCAGAATCCAGTTGATTCTCTGACTGGCCTCATGGAGGCGGCCAGAAGCACCCACCTTGGACAGTTTGGTGAGTGAGAAACATCTACAGTGTGAATGATTATGCATCCGGGATCTACTTGTTACTAGAACTTGCATACTCAGGCAAAAGTAAAAAGAGAAGCATGCAGGGAAGGTTGTAGGAGTGGTCTAGAAACTGAAGCAGAGCCTGGATTGAGATTTCTCTATTGGTAGCAAGTTAAAATGCCTCCACACTCCGACAAAATGAAACAATACAAAGCAAAATGTGTTTTTGAAGGCAACCTTTGCAATCATCTCACATTCAAAACTACATTGGGCATTAACATGAGTACCTTTGTACGGACACTTCTTATTTTACAAAGAAGTAAGCCTCCAGAAATGATACCTAAGCTTCAAGTTTGGCATTTGCCCTTCTGTTAATGAGCACTCATTGATTTGCTTACATGTTAGTTTCAGCTTCAGCAACACATCCATGCTCTGATAGGCACCCGACAATGGAAGAGGTACCCAAGTTAGAAACACACAAATGCTCCTACTCAAAGGACAATTGAAGAACGCAGGGGAACAAAGAATGCAGCTGGCAGTATGCTGTCAGAGAAAGCAGAATGTAATAAAAGATATTTCTATGCTCTTTCAGGCACACTTTTCCCAAGGCCAGAAATGTGGCACACGGCCCAATACAGACTGGAAATAACAAGTATGCAAAAAAACAATATGCAGAAAGGAACAAAGGAAAAATTAATTTGAAGCAGAAAGCATACATGTTAGTTTGACCTTACTTTTCTGAATCAATAGTTACTCTCTAGATGCAACCTGCAAGATGAATGTTGGACATGGTTGGAATATTGTGATAGGGTGAGAGGAGCCAGGTGGGGAAAAACAGTTTCTCAATCCAGAGAAGGCATGATGAAGTCGATTTTGAGAGCACCAATTCTGGTAGACTCCAAGGGAAGCTAGTTTGAGTACAGAAGTTTAAAAGAAGAAAAAAGGAAAAGAAACAGAACTAAGAAATAGTCAACAATGTGAAGACAGGTAAAGAGATATGATATTGACCTAACAGAATAAATCAAGAACTCAGTCACCTGCCCACACCTGCCTTCAGGGAAGATTGGGAAGTGTCATGCAACTGTGGGCTCCAGGAGAAGAGAACATGGATTTTCACAAATAAGTGGCAGTCTTGGTATATGTCATTCTATAGTTTTACCCTGTAGTTCACAGAGTTGTCTTAGAATGAAACTGTAAATCCCCATCTTTTTTTTTTCTTTTACTTTAGAGTGTGGACAGATTGGCATTGGTCAGCATATAGCTATGAAATAGATGCTTTCAGAACGAAAAAGAAGGCATGGTGCTTGACCCCAGCCCAGAAGAAGCTCCCAATGGATTATGTCATGGATAATAAACAAAAGAAATGAGATCCAGGAAATACAGGGTTAGATTTGTCAGCCTTCTTGCTTTTCTGTATCAAAGGATTCATATGCAGGGGCTTAAATAAGGTAGAAGTTAATTCTCTGTTACTTGATAGTCTGGGTCACAGTTGGTCTAGTGAGTCTCAGTAGGCAGGGGGAAAAGGTACAGGAGGGCAGACTTCTTTGCTTTTAAAGACACAATCGAAATTTACACATCTTATTTCTCCTCACATCCCATTGGTAGAACTAAGTCATATGATCAAAATCTGCTTACAAAGGAGGCTGGGAAATGTGGTTTTATAGGCAGATACTTATAATAAAGAGGAAAAGTAAACAAACAACAACAAAAAAGGGGTTTCAACTTTTAAATACCAATCATTGACAAGCCTGGTAGGAAATCATGGAAGTTTTATTAGTATGCCATTTTCACAGAGAATAAGAACCTCAGATTGAGCTAGTAGGGCAGGGGGCAGTGGGAGGGGGGCATGGAATCTATAAGTAACAGCTTAGAAGGGAAATATACCATCCAGAGCAATTGTTCCCAGAGCCACTAGATACCAAAATCATCTATGGGGCTTTTTCTAAATATCAATGCCTGGGTTGTGGACATTCTGATTCAGTAAATCTGGGTGATGGACTGATTTTTTTAAGCCCCCAGTACCAAATAGGACACATTGTCAGGACTTGGGACCACTAAGAAATAAAGAGAACTTCAAAGGTGAATATTGCCTTTATGTTCAAACTCCCCCCAAAAGTTAAAGTTTTAAATAAGCAAATATTGTTAGATTTTTCTGAGAAAGCTTAATCAGAAATATTTTATACTATAAATGATTGATTATGAAAGGACTGGGATTCACATGGGGGGGGGGTTGACTCCTTGCATTGCCACTGTTAGGTCTTGGGCAGGTCTGTCAAGAGACTTGTCCTTCCTCTGGAAAATGAGGGGTTAGTCAAAATGATTGCTAGCCAAGTCTCTTTATTCACTAGCATATTTTAAGTAACATATAATTAAAGTAAAAACTACTTAACATTCAATAAACTTTTATAGAACTTTCGCTTAGTTTTAGGATCTGCTAGGAATACGAAAGGAGAAAAAGGTAAATGCAGGTCGTCCTTCAAGGGGCTTCCCATCTATCAATTGCCAACCACCCTACTGGGTACCAGACAGTTAATCAGAAGCCTGTTGGTGGCCACCTTTCCATGGCAGAAATATGCATAGATTCATATCTCTCCCTTTCTCTCTCTCCTTCTCTCTCTCTCTCATTCACTCCCTGTTATGGTTTAGATGTGTAAGCTCATGTGTAAGACAATGCAAGAAGGTTTAGAGGTGAAAAGATTCTGTTATGAGAGCCTTAATCCAACCAGTCAATTAATCCTCTGATAGACATTAACTGAGTGGTCAATGTAGACACTTGGGGTGCAGCTGGAGGAGGTGGGTTCCTAGGGGCGTGGCTTGGAGGTTTATATTTTGTAAGTTGAGCTTAGTCTCTCTGGGCTTCCTGGTGCCACGTTCCCAGCTGCCTTCCTCTGCCACACCCTTCTGCCATGATGTTCTGCCTCACCTCAGGCCCCAAGGAATGGAGGTGGCCATCCATGGACTGAGACCTCTGAAACCGTGAGCCCTAAAATAAACGTTTCCTCCTCTAATTGTTCTATTCAGGTCTTTCTGTCACAGAAGTGAAAACGCTGACTCAAACGCTCCCTTTCCCCTTTCTTTCTTTTTGTTCTAATTCAAATTTTTCTAAAGTGAGTATGTAACACTCATCATGGAGGAAAATTAATCCTACAGAAAGTCTTGTTCCAAGAAATATATTTGAAATGTATTTTTGAATTCTTGCTGTCTTGTAACTAAGATATCAAGAAGGAGCACTATGGAGACAGAGATATTTGATAAGGTTCATCTCAATCCAAGAGAATCTGTGAAAAGGCTTTTCCCTCTGCCTGCCACTTTCCTGGCTTTGGGGACAGGAAATGTGGGTGCAAGGAAACCTCACTTTTGGCATGTGCACCAAGTGTGTGTTTTGGGGCGGGGGGGTGCACGCTCATGCTTAACAGACGAAAGGAGCAACAAGAAATGAGTTACAAGTAAATGATGATGAAGAAGGAACAATGAAAAAAAGGAAAAATAGCACCACTCAGAAAACAGTTCGTTCC